AAGATATGTTTTCCCAAGTGTGTGGAGATCTGAAGAAAAACTTATGTTCCTTTAAACTTTGAGTTGTTGTTCTTCCCCCTTTCCCCAGTTATTAGCTGGTCTAATAAGAGATGCTATTCTATCTAGAAGCCTTGCTTTGATGAGATGTCAGGCTCTTACTTCATTGCTGCTCCAACATCTTTCTAATCTGCTCACACAACTGTCTTAAAGTTGATGATGCTTTTGACCAAATCAGGTCACTAGATTTTGACTGAGACTTTCACCCCCTTTTGTAATAGGGTAAGAATGCTCTTTGGGATTTAGAAATGAAAGATTAAGGTGCCATTGTCTGCTCTGCTGGTTGAAGTGATCTCCCCAGCAGAAGCAGTTATTCCTCTTTTGCTGCACCTAGTATGTGAGCAGAAATTGGCAACAGCAGCGTACAGCACAAGAAGGAGCAGTGTGTATGGACCAGGTGTTGATCAAAGCTTGATCAGTTGAGTGCAAACTGTCTCCATCTTCCTTAGGTTCCTTGGGATCCAGAGGACAGATGAGTTTTCTCTTTATTAATAGGAAAGAATAATAGAGCAGCACTGATTCTGGCAGCACAAACCAGTATGGTAAAGAACATTCCTGTGTGTGGCTTTGTGTATTGTTTGGGGAAATAATAAAATCTGGAAAATAAGCACTATAATAAAATAATCTCTGATTGATTCTCCTTTACTAATTTCTCAAAGACAGCCGTGCTTAAAGATCTTGAGTTTTGCCTCTGTCAGCCGGATGGCACTATTCTGGAAACCAAGAATTTTCCAAAATGTACCGTGGTTATTACATTAAGTGGGTGAACAAAAATTGTGTCTCTAAAGGGAAGAAAGCGTTTTCATTTCTTTCAATATTTTGCAGTATATTTTCTGAATTTGACTGAAAAATATGCAGCTATGGATCTCCAGTAAAGTGGAGAGTGCAGCTACAGGATTGATTTTTGCATGTATAAAATTACTTAAACCTAATAAATCAGGTACAAATGTTAGCATTTCTTCTATATGTACCCTATAGTCATTTGACTGTTGATCTTTTAAATATTTCAAAATGATATGTGGGTATTAACTCATTATTTTGGAATATCTGCTTTGAAGACTTCAGGTTCTAAACCTTGGATTTTGAGTTATGCTGAAGGCTAGCAAACCAACTTGTTTAAACTTACTTGCATGTTGGGAGTGCAGGTCACTTATTTAACTTTAGAACAGATGTGTACAAATAAGTAAGACCTTTAACCCTAAGTTTGTGTGTCCTTTTTACAAAGAGGAGATGATTTCCCCTTTTTGGTACTATTACCTATGTCAAGCTGTAAGTGGCTTCAAAACATGCTGTTGTGGTTTAAGCCCAGCTGGCAACCAAGTGCCATGAGGCTTGCTCGCTCAATCCTCCCACCTGGTGGGATGGGGAGGAGAAAATATAAAGAAAAGCTTGTGGGTCAAGACAAGGACAGGAAGGGATCACTCACCACTTATGGTCACGGGCAAAAGACAGGCTCAACTTGGGGAAAAAACAAACCAATTTAATTTACTACAAATCAAATCAAAACAAGGATAATGAGAAGTAAAACTCAAACCTTAGAACACATTCCCCCTACCCCTCTTCCCTTCCTGGGTACAGCTTCACTCCTGATTTTCTCTACCTCCTTCCCTCCAGCAGCGCAGGGAGATGGGGAATGGGGGTTGGGGTCAGTTCATCCATCATATGTTGTCTCTGCTGCTCCTTCCTCCTCAGGGGGAGGACTCCTCACTCGTCCCCTGCTCCAGCGTGGGGTCTCTCCCATAGGAGATAGTCCTCCACAAACTTCTCCAGCATGAGTCCTTCCCACAGACTGCAGTCCTTCATGAACTGCTCCAGCGTGGGTCCCTCCCACAGGCTGCAGTCCTTCACGAACTGCATCAGCATGGGTCCCTTCCATGGCGTGCAGTCTTCAGGAGCACACTGCTCCAGCATGGGTCCCCCATGGGGTCACAAGTCCTGTCAGAAAACCTGCTCCAGCATGGGCTCCTCTCTCCACAGGGCTACAGGTCCTGCAAGGAGCCTGCTCCAACATGGGCTTTCCCATGGAGTCACATTGGGGGCATCCGCAGGCTGCAGGTGGGCATCTGCTCCCCTGCTGCCCTCCATGAGCTGCGGGGGGACAGCCTGCCGTCTCACCACAGGCTGCAGGGGCATCTACTCTTCAGGCGCACCTCCTCCCCTTCTTCACTGACCTCGGTATCTGCAGAGGGGTTTCTCTCCCATCCCGCTCCCCTCTCTGCTGCAGGTTTCCCTTCTTAAATATTTTATCCCAGAGATGCTACCACCATCGCTGATGGGCTTAGCCTTGGAGCCGGGAAAGCTTCTAGCAACTTCTTGAAGGAGCCACCCCTGCAGCCCCCTCCCCTGCCATCAAACCCCTGCCAATCAAACCCAATACACATGCAAAATAACTTTATAATGCAAAACCTACAGGGATTCCTGTTGTCTGTTCTGGAAACTTTTTTTTTGCAGAGATCTGCCAGTAAAACCCTAACTTTTATTTCATACAGTATTGTATGCGTCTTAAAGCGCCAAAGTGAAATTTTGTGGTAATTTGGGCAGGGCAAGATACTGTTGTTACTGGTCTTATTTTGTTTAGGATTGCACACAGCTGTTGGGTGAATAATTTGTAGTTTGAAATACAAGTGAATAATCCAGCTCTTATAAACCAGTTCCCTTTTTCCATTGTTCTTTCAGGGTTTGTATCTTTCAAATGAAGTTACTTTGAAAGTTTGTTTAATGTTTCCTGTTTTCTGTCAGCTTTTTTTACCACTTCCTTTACACTTACTGTCCTTTACACTGTGTTTGGTGTGAGGAGTGAAAAATAATTTTGTTTTGTAGCTGAGCTAAGGCAACCCTGTGTTGGTTTAAATGGAGCATTCAAGTTCTGTGCGTTCACACTATCAACATTATTTTAGTTTTTGCTGTGCTGTGTCATGCTTTCATTTTCTCAAATAAACACCTACAATAAGCTGCTACATGGACTCTTCTAAAATACTTCATGTTGAAAGGATACATGAAGGATTTTATTGCGGGGGGAGTATCGACCAGAATACTAGGATAGATCATATCACACAATAGAGTTTAGGCAAAGTTAATCTAGGAAGGATATTGATTTCTAAAAGATGGCTGTTAACAGAAATGCATGAATTCACGTGTTTTATGTGCTTGCAAAAAATGAGTTTTTATAATCTGTTGCATGGTGAGAGAGAGATAATGCACCAAAACTTTTTGGCTGCTTTCAAACTAAATAGTAGGACAAAGATGTAAGTAGCTTCACAAAATTAAAGGTGTACTTCCTAGGTACCTCTCTGTCTTGTGAGGCTTTTTAAAATCCTATATTCCAGAACATTGAGCTTTCTGGCATCAGTCTATCAAAGTATTAACACACATACTGAATCTTAAATATGTGAACAGTCATGCTGAATTTGCAGGTATACATGATAGGGTGTACTGGCCTCAAAATGTTCAATACCTACAGGATTGAAGCCCTAGTAAGCATAACAAATCAAATAATTGTCTGAGTTAATAGCATACACTTACTACAAATTAAAGCTCTAAAGAAAATTACCATGTAGTGTTTCTATTCCTCTGTCAGCTAAGCCATATGAAGAATGGGTTGTAACTAGCAAAATGAGTGATTGTTCTAGGGATGAATGTGTGTGATTTACATTATTAAATAAAATTGTAGCCGTCCTTCAGCTTTAAATGCATGTCAAGTATTTTGAGTAGGCTACAGAAAGCAAGATGCAGTTGGGTAGGTAACTTAGTGTGGTTCCCTCTTGCAAACTCTGCTAGGACAGAGCTGGTTGCTCTGCTTCTTAGGACCACTGCCAGCTGCTCTCCCCTCTTTTCATCATTTCTTTCAGTTCAGCTGTTTGTTTGGTTTTACTGGGTACAGATCTGTGAAATGCTAGGGTGTAAGACCCTAAATTGCCACTGAAATTTCCAGAGCATGCAGTTGTAGCTGAAGATTAAGAGCATGGCCTTTTCTCTAAGCATATATTGGAGTTATTTATTTTTATGCAATATGAAATATAATATTTTTCAATATTTAAGCTTTCTGTATTGAATGCAGTGAGACTTGTGAAGTATTTTGTTCTAGGTAAACTCTTTAATAAAGATTTGAACTAAATATTAGCTTTTACAGTAAGTAGAAACCAACTAAAGGGCTTCATGCCCAGCAGTGCTTCTTTTTCATCTCTTGGTATGTCATTTTATTAGGGAACAAGAAAGTTGTTAAATGTTTTTTATTTTACACAAGCAGAAATTAGAAGGAAACAAGAAGTCTCCCATGGCATAGTAGAGATCACTGTTAATTGTTATGTTTGGATATTTAAAAAAAACCAAAACATCCCACACTGTGTAGTATGATTGGTGTAAGAAGGTAGTTTTACTTAAATGATGTAATTTATTATTTACTATTAGAGGTAGCAAAGAATTTTTTAAAGCAACACTACTAAAGGAAAAACATAACTAGTTCAGTCTCCTTGAAATAAGTTACTTTCTTTGTAATTTCTCTACTTCATAGAGTAACATGTAAACACTATTAAGAACAGTTTATGGTAGTCCTTCAAAAAGGAACGTGCTTTGAATACAAATCTCTTTAATAATCTGTGCCTACCTATGAAGAAAAGGGTAATGAATTCTTGTCTTCTGAGTGACCAGATTATCTTCAGCTTTATCTAACACTTTGCTGTCAAAGGTGTTATGCATCTCAAACTGTTATGCATCCTTGAAGTCATTAATTCTAATTCTTTTTTCCTCTAAAACTATAAAAGCTCTCAAACAATGAAACGGCTGTATTTTGTACTTCAGTGGAATTGCAAATTCCATAAGTAATGCTCATAATCAAGAGTGCAGTAATAACTCCAGTATGCATCTCAAGAATATTTCTTGGTTTTGATGATAATTATGTCTGTTTCTTCAACAGTTATTTTAAAATATGTACTATATATTTACAGATATATGGAGTTTAGGGGTCATCCTCTTCATGTTGGTTTGTGGACAACCACCATTTCAAGAAGCAAATGACAGTGAAACACTGACTATGATAATGGACTGCAAATACACAGTGCCACCTCATGTGTCCAAAGAATGTAAAGAGTAAGTAGAGTACTAAAGAACTTGGAAGCATTCGTAGAAGTAGATTCTCATTACCTTTAGGAGTTCCCCACACCATATCAGCATGTGGAATATTCCTTGCCTGTTAATAAGATATTATGCTGACTGCTTTTGCTTAGTTGTTAGTATTTCTTCACATCGATTGAGTAGTTTCAGTATTGCATTTTTTTATTCTTTGTGTCTCTTCTTACTAAAGATTAATCCCATGATGTTTTTTTGCTAATAGGTTTTTCCCACACTTGTGTGAAACTTCATTTTGATTTTACACAATGTATCTTTCATGTGTCTCAGTTGTCATGCATTTTATAAATGATTGAAGAAGCTGCTCACCACTGCCTGATGTTGGCCACCACTCTTGCTGCACAAATTACAAAGTGTTGCTGAGAGTATTTTGTGGCAGGGGTTAAAAAGGTAAAGATTTCTGTTATGTTTCTGTTCAAAACAAAGTTGCTAAAACCCGAGGATATCACAGCAAGTTTTGCTCATCTCCTACTGAAATTGCAACTCCAAATCAACATTCCAGGCAATCAAGGGAGAAAAATATTCTGTCTGCAAATACCATATGCCACTTGGGAATCATGAGTCATTTTGATGTGTTGTTTTTCTGCAGTGTTCACTGCAGCTTTTTTATTTTTTTTATATGTTCCAATATTTTCCATATTTCCCTGTCGGTTAATGACCTCTTCATTCCTTTTAATATATACCCCAGTTGTATCACTTAGAGTATTTTACAATGTTTGGCGGGGTTCTTGAATCTGCAATAGACTATCTTTAAATTTTCAATATGAAAGTCCAGATGCCTTTATAAATGCTTGAAAAATGCATTTGGTCCAGTCAAAAAACTATGGCAGCATCTAGGATTCTGTTATTTGACACAGAATGAAATTTTTACAGCTATGGTCATAATGACTGCTCCTCTATTCACCTGTCGTCTGTATGGTCCGGGAATCTAATGCATAACATGATGCCATAGCTGGTTTTCATGTCTTGTCATTAGTGTCTAGCATTTCCAGTAACATGGAAAAGCTGCTATCGGTGCTCTCAACAGCTTGAAGAGCTTGACATACAGGAAGAGGTTTAAAAGAGAGCTCTTATCAGTGAATTGTATCAAATAAATCTCTTGAGACGCTGCATGCTGTGCTGAAGTCAGGAAACTTATTTTTTGCAGCCTTTTGCTTAATATATTGGCTAATGCTAATTTGCTTATAGGCCCAAGTAGATCTACTTTTTCTACATGATGTATCAACAAGGTATGATCAGTTACCCAAGTCCTCTATAGGTTAGGTTTTCTTAGGGAAAAGACTCTGGGAATGTTTAAACTTCCTGCCTGGAGTAAAAGCATTCTTGGTGGTTTGCATAAGCAAGCTTAAAGCAGGAGGCACATGTGGTACATTTGTGTGGTTTTACTACAGGTGTAGTTTAAAACAAATCAGACGAAGTATATAGTTTGTTCCCTTTCTGTCATAAAGTTAACAAAAGTAAAGAAAATCAGGGCTCCCATGTCTCACCCCGCTTTTCCTTTTGGTAAAGGCAGAGACCACAGCTACTAAGTATGTATGTGACATTCTTTTTTTACAGTAGAGTTTTAAGAAGTCTGAATTAACCTCCATTTTTAATTCCATACATCATCTTACACTAAAAAATACAAATAAATTGTGACTACCTTTGTGATTTGTGTGGCCTTGCAGTTTGAAGTTGCATGGTGTAGTATAGTTAGTGCAATAAAAAGCATTATGTGAAAACCACAGAACTTTTGTTCCACATGTTGGAGCAATAAATTTTCATTGAAACCTTGGCACCAAAACTGTATATACATGTTCTGTTTGTTGTGCAAAGCCAAAAATACCTTCTCCAAGAATTTTTCTTGTCTAGTAAGTGAACAGAGATGTGCTATGCTAATCAAGTCGTGTTTCTCTGTTTATTTGGGGAATTTATGCACTTCCTTTCAGGCACTTGTAAACACTCAGTATCAACCCATTAGTCGGTTTGTCACTTCATCATCCCAGATAGTGTTTTGTTTTGGTTTTTTTTCCCTCTATGGATAGAACAGATCAGTGTTCTTTCAGGGACACTGAAGAATCAAATGTCTAATAGCTATTTTAGAATAAAGTATTTCTACTTATCTTGCCATTCCGCATTCTTGTTGACAGCAGCAATAATAGAAAGTTATACTTCTATTACTTTACAGACCAGCCTAGGCCATCTGTGACAGTTGCCCTTTAAGACCTATTAAAAACAAACTAGCAAAATCAGGTTAGGAATCTAAGCATAGTGAATGAAAACTGGAGTGTTTATGATATTTATAGTTTTTAATAGGTAAATTGTTTGTTTCCATTCAGCAATATTTGGAATGTATTTGAGAATAAATTATTTCCCATCACATTGTTTACTATAGAGACTTCTAAAGATCTATGTGGACCAACAGCAGAAAATTTTTTCCTAACGTTGCTCTTACAATGGCTGCTTTTTAAACATGTGAGTGCATTTTGTTTAGATTTATTTTTTATTCACAGTCTAATTACGCGGATGTTGCAGAGAGACCCGAAGCGAAGGGCATCTTTGGAAGAGATTGAAAACCATGCATGGCTCCAAGGAGTCGACCCATCGCCTGCAACAAAGTACAATATTCCTCTTGTGTCATATAAAAATCTGTCTGAGGAGGAACACAACAGTATAATACAACGCATGGTTCTTGGTGATATTGCAGACCGAGATACAATAGTGGAGTAAGTTGTAAATTTTCTATATGCAGTTTGTTTTGTGCATCTGTCATTTTTGATTAAAGAATGTCCTGAGAACCTGGGTACTCCAATGTTTAAATATCAAGCCTTTCGGTTAACAAACAAAGTATTACAGTCTTGCTCTGTGATGGGATATTCTAGGATGAGAAATACTTAAGTAGACCCAACCTTAGGAAAAACTTCCAAGAAAATGTGTTGGAACAGTGTTTGATTCCTGTGGTAGTTTGCCATCTTAAGTAAATTTAACTACTTTGAAATCCATGCTTTTATTTGTGTTTCATCTCTCATGCATATTTGGAGGTGATAAATTCTAGCATTTTTCCCTTAGTACATTTCCAGTATACCTGAATCTTTGTTAATTTAGAATATTATTCCTTTATCTATATAATGCAAAATAGTAACTGTCACTGAGTGAGCTTGCTAGAAAGCTACATAGTTTCTTCTAATAGATTAAAACTCCCAAATTTCTAAGCTAGAAAAACTGTTAACTAGCTTACCATTGGCAGGGGGGGAAGCAGCAGTCTCGCTTCTTAAGCTTTTAGCTGTCTAACAGTGGCATCCTTTCTGTTAGAATGTCTGAATGATGCTTACTACCTTATGAATTTAATTTTACTGTAAACTTAATGCGACAGCCTTAAAATAATGAACATTTTTCCTCCAGTTGTTGCATAAACAAATATTAGTGCTTTGTGGTTGTATGTGCCACTGGGAAAGCCCATCGTTGGTGCATAATATTAATGAAATACAATTTTATCATTTAAAGAATGTTCAGTAAAGTAAGAATTCTTTATTTTTTTATGATATTCTGAGGATGTCGTCATCCAACTATAGTTGAAAGTACTAGACTTGTTGGCTCTTTATTTTATATAAAACCAAGACATGCTTGTCCAAACATCAAAAATACACAGTTCTGCTTTCAGGCACTCTTCCTGCTATGAGAATTACAGCAAGTTGTGCGAGATGCAGGTCCAGTTTTCAGAAAACCATTGATGTATGGTTTATTTCATGTTTTGTACTTTTCTTAGGGCATTGGAAACTAACAAATACAATCACATCACTGCTACTTACTTCTTACTAGCTGAAAGGATTCTGCGAGAAAAACAAGAGAAAGAAATTCAGACCAGATCTGCAAGCCCTAGCAACATCAAAGCTCAGTTCAGGTGAGAATTTAGGAATCTAAATTTTTAAGCTGGCTTAATGAGAATATTATTGAATTGCTCAAGTACTTCTTTTTAAAAAACAGTAAAGTACTTATTCATTGCAAATTTTAAATGTCTTTAAAGTGCTGTGGATGCTTCAGAAGCTGTTCAGAAATCAGTTACCAATAATATTTTCAATTCCTACCATTTTCAGGAAATGCCTAACCAATTTGAAGGCTGTATCTGAAGTAGTAAGTTTTCACACCTGCTAGGAAAGGGCATGTTCATTGACCTTCAGTTCCTCATACAAATTGTATATATAAATCCCTGAAAAAAAATTAGTTGCATAATCCATAAACATGTTGATGGGGAATTAGTTGTAAATGAGAAATCATTCTGGATTTGATGTTAGGTTTAGTTGTTAGCTTTGATTTTTTTTTTTTTAAATGGGTTGAACATCCCCTAAATCAAGCTTAGAGCAAACACCTGTAGGTTGTGTTCTTTTTAATATCAGTTGATATGCCTGTTGTCTAAGGAAAACTGTTGAATTAATTGCTTTAATCACCTATTTAAAGATATGGCAATAGATTTTTTTTAATTTTTTTTTTTTTAGTTTGACAAAAACATGATTTAAAAAACCCCATAGTAAGGTTCCCTGAGATTTTTCAAAGCTTCAGCTTGTGACACAGTAAAACTAAAGGGGGAAGTGGGATTCTGGCATCTAGCTGGTATTGCTGTGTTCAACCAGTCCATTTGCTCTGCAACCAGTTAGCAAAGCATCCCATATTTTCAGTTACAGTGGCATATGCTTTAACAAAACAAACACAAGGTGAATAGTATAGTTTCTACCCACACATTGATATTGGAGGATACATGTTTTGAACACTTATTTTTCTTAAACATTTTGTTTTTAATTTCCTGAGTTAAGTGTCAGACTACAACTAGGGATCTGCTGGTATTGAAAAAAAATCTTTATTGGCCCATCTTGACAAACTTTATAGTGAAGACGTAGGTTGTGCTGAGGCATTTCCATTAATTTTTGTTCTCTAACCTCCAGTCTCTTCAAAATTTGCCTTTTAGGTTTTGGCAAAATATTATTGGTAACTATTATTAGCAATAATAACAATTGTTGGTAGCTAATCTCTTAATGAGAGAAGAATATTAAGTGCTTGTGCTGATGTTTAGAGTTGCTGCCTACCTTCAGTGTTGTTAATCTGTCTGTAGGATTTGGAGAAAAAGACAAAATAGCTTTTTCATTCCAAAGGTTTCTTTGTGCAACTTTCATGCAAGGTCACGTGTGAAATCATTTAATAGGAATGATAATAGGGACATAAATGCTATGGTGTCCTTCTGCTGCATATCTATATTTTCCTTGGCCTGATTGACAAAAGTCAGATACTACTACCTCAATTTCAATCTAGGAAAAAAATGGATAAGTTATAAATTAAGGGCATGCACTTTGGAAAATAGGTTAAAGATACATCATCTCCATTGGTTGTTACCTTGGATTTAGGCTGAGATTTTGGAGGCTTTTAAAGGAGTCTGTTCTGAACACCATTCTGTCTACCTGAATAATGAGTTATTTCTCTCTGAACCTTACAGTGGTTCTCAACATCTTTGTCATCTCCAGATGAGACTCCAGCCTGTGTTGTGTACTAGAGTAGACTGAAACTTTATTGCTGTGCTTAAAAGGTCATTCACTCAATGGTCACTTATGTAGGAAATTTTATGTTGTGTGATTACAAGTACTTTCAAAGAGTTATTGTTGCAGGCAACTAAGGGTTGCCTACAGAACGTAAATGGCCTGGAGCTTGGTGTTACAGACCTTAAGTCTCTTCAAGGGTAATACTGTAACTTTCACTCTGCAGTTCTCTTAATGGACCATCCTCTTTTTTTATGTCAATTTCTTTTGAAAAAGAAAGCCAAGCAGAGCATGAAATGAAAACTTCAAATGAAAATTCTAAAACTACAAAGTCTGCATTTAAATTGTTTTGTTTTTTTCTCTGCATCAGTGTCGCTCTTGCAGTAGAAGAGCTGCTCCAGTTACATGAGGAACTGGAGCAAACAAGTTCATTCCATCTAAATCTTGATATGAATTTGTAAAGTTGAATGGAGTACTTAAAGCCTGCCTTATGAGTATGAATCATGACAAAGGGCATCTGCATAAACTCAGGCACTCTTGCCCTTAATGGTCTCAGGTAGCTATTGCTTGTCTTCATGGTGGTTCTAAATTCAAAGTATTTATATAGAATGACCTCATGGAAGAGACAACAAAGTCCTGCATTACTTTGATTTTGAGACTTCAAAAGAGTTTTGTTTTTTTTTTTTTTTAAATTACTTGCAACCTGGAGCTTCCCTTCTGTCTCACTCTCCCCTCAGGCCTACTGGGAATGGAGGGGAGGTGGGGGGGAAGGGATGCAAACATGGGCTGCTATAAGAGATAAACATACTGTAGTGGGGAGGTTTATTGCCTGGAAACTACAGTACTGTCAGATACTATATTTACCCTTTATTGTGACAGCCACAGAACTCTCTTCCTTTTTTTTGCTGACAAACCAGTCTGTTCTTAAAGCATGGTAAATTCTTGAAAGATTTAGATCTTCGTTTTCTGTCACTTTTGTAGTTACGTTTCTAATTTATTTAAGTCCTATTTGTTAATCACAGACAGTTGTTTGTGTTTAAAATACCCAGCATGGCACAAGTCATCAGAAAACTAGGTCAGTGGTTCCCAGTGTTTCTGGAGTCAGCTGGGGCCTAAGGGAGGATGCCAGTGTCAAACCAAGGAGGACCACAGCTTGGGCTCCGCTTCTTGTCTGGACAGCTTGGGTCGGAGCTGCTGGTTGTGTGGCCTCCCTCGAGGCAGAGCCCCTCACTGGAGGGAAACTGGTGGGAGGGCACCGGCAGCTCCCAGTGCCCAAGGAGACAGGAGGGAGCCTGTGCAGCTCCTCCTAGGGAACGGACTACACAGGCTTACACGGGTGTGTTGGCAGCCAGGTCCTAAGAGGATCCTGGTGGATTTTTGTATTGCTGGTTTGTTAAGCAAAACTGAAACTAGCACTTCAAAACAAAGTCTGCAGTTAGGCTTGATGAGTTTAATGTTGGCTTTAATAAAGTACTCTTCTTCAAAGTTCATACAATTGGGAAGATGGTTGTCAATTGTTCCCTGTGTAGATAGGCATCTCACACTTCAGGATCCTTTTCTATCCAGCTGTTACAGAGGGAGCCTTGAGGAAATGCGGTCCTAGTGTAGGTGCTTCCATTAACTTTAAACCTTAAAAAGAACACGTTTAGAGTAAGAATAGCAAAGAGGTGTGCGAGCTTTCCTTGTTTCTTCAGCTTGACCTCTTAACACAGCAGAGATCAGGAAGTTGGTATGATCCTTCCGTTTTCGTACGCAGGCTGTTCAAGCAGATATCTGGGGTCACGCTTGGTGCGAAACATTCTCTGCTTCCTTTCCCACTTTCCTCCTACGCGTTGCTTCTAAACTGGGCTACAGCCCTTTCTTTTGGCACACCCAAAATATGGTTGGGAATGTCTTGTAATGCTATCCATATGTAAAGAGAGGTCTCTACTACAACTTTTCATGCAGTATGTTAAGAGTATTTTAGTTATGTCAAGTTAAATGACTGGCAAACTTTTTTAAATTAAAAATTAACTCTTACTTTGAGAGGTTAGAAAAAATTTCTTGGTCTCCACAAGAAATATGGGGCTTATGCTGAGTGAAGCAATTGAAGAATTATTCAGTGTTAAGGTGTTGGTCTTGGATTAGGCTTTCAAAATACAGAGAGGGAATAAAGACTGACAGTCTTTGTTCTTAGTTTATTTGGTGTGCATTATGGGAAAATTACAATATATATTAGGATTTAAAGTAAAATACAGATCATTAGGTACTAGCTTAGATACTGGAGATAAGGCATCAGATGCTAACTGTAAAACTGATTTACACTCAAGTGTTACTTTCATTTTGATTTGAGCCAATGCTAGTACACAGTCATGTATTTTGAACTTGGATTTGCAGTTTAGTCAAGTGTCATATTCTTAAGCAGCTTGAGTCCTGAATTCATGCAGCTGTATTAGTCCAGTTGCTCAGCTAAGGACAAATAAATGTATGATCTCAATTCATCTGTGTTTAAAATTAAAGGGGATTTTGTAGAATAGAGCTTAGTCTGAATGAGACTTACTGAAAATGAGAGAATGTTTCTTCTGACTCAACTTTTCAGTCTCGCTCATGTTAATTCTAACCTAATTTTTATATTAAGAATACTGGGAAAAAATAACAGAAGCTTTAGATTAAAAATAGTTTGCAATACTATCTTATTTAAGGTACGCTTGAGTCAGCTTGTATCTTCCTCTAGGTACTGGTGGCTCTGTACTTACTTCAGATTATTTTCTCTGAGATGCAATTATTTAAAGTTTTTTATTGCTTAATTCATTTTCTGAGAGCAGTGAAATCTTAAGATTTCATTTGACAGTAACCAACATAATTTCTAAACTATGCTTTTGTATATATGATCTTTCTTTCAAATAATAGCATTTCTAAATGAATGCACATTCTCTGAGAATGCTTCTGTTTCTTCAGTTACTCAGTACTGTTACTTACAAACATGCCACCCAGCAGGCCAATCTGTGTGACAGTACTTGTGCTTCTGTTGTGCAGATCTTATGTTTTCTTACATGTTCGGAAATACTTGCCATGATTTAACTTTTCTTTTATCCTTTATAATTGTTTATGTAGGCAGTCATGGCCAACAAAAATCGATGTACCTCAAGATCTGGAGGATGACCTTACAGCTTCTCCTCTCTCCCATGCAACTGTTCCTCAGTCACCGGCTCGCACGGCTGAGAATGTTCTCAATGGCCACAGAAGCAAGGCCCTTGGTGATTCAGCAAAGAAAGAAGATATCCCTGAATTAGCTGGACCGGCACTTTCAGCAGTCCCATCGGTGAGCTTAAAACCCACTACAAGTGGCCGCAAGTGCTTATTCAGAGTAGAGGAAGATGAAGAGGAGGATGAAGAAGATAAGAAACCTATTTCTCTTTCTACTCAAGTTGTTCTGCGCCGTAAGCCTTCAGTTACAAATCGTCTTACTTCGAGAAAGAGTGCACCAGTCCTCAATCAAATCTTTGAGGAGGGCGAGTCAGATGATGAGTTTGACATGGATGAGAACTTACCCCCAAAGCTCAGCAGGTTAAAAATGAATATTGCTTCACCTAGCACAGTGCATAAACGCTATCACAGGAGGAAAAGCCAGGGACGGGGCTCTAGCTGCAGTAGCTCAGAAACAAGCGATGACGACTCGGAAAGTAGGAGACGCCTAGACAAAGATAGTGGGTTTACCTATTCTTGGCATAGACGGGATAGCAGCGAAGGGCCACCTGGCAGCCAAGGAGATGGTGGTGGACAAAGCAAACCAAGTAATGGAAACGGAGGGGTAGACAAAACGAGCCCAAGTGATAACAACAAAGGTGGGGGGAGTCCCTCCGGTAGCTCCAGTGGTAGCACCAACAACACTTCAGGTTCCACTCGGAGATGCGCTGGATCCGGGAACTCAATGCAGCTATCGTCTAGAAGTGCAGGGGAACTGGTTGAAAGCCTGAAGTTAATGAGCCTTTGCCTAGGTTCACAGATTCACAGCAGCACTAAATACATTATTGATCCTCAAAACAATCTGTCCTTTTCCAGTGTAAAAGTACAGGAGAAGTCAACATGGAAAATGTGTATAAGTTCCAGCGGAAGCACAAACCAGGCTTCATCGTTGGGCAACCTAAAGTTTTTTTCTGACCAAATGTCAGACACAGCAAATGAATTGGAACGCATAAAGAACAGGAACTTGAAAAACAATGTGCTACAACTACCTCTCTGTGAAAAGACGATATCTGTGAATATTCAGCGGAACCCAAAGGAGGGGCTGCTGTGTACCTCCAGTCAGACCAGTTGTTGTCATGTCATTTGACAACGACCCGACTTTAATAGCTCGATCTACTTGACAGCATCATTCTTCCTGTTCAGAGCTGTGCACACCTTGTCACAGACCCCCTTTTATTGTCTTAAGATTTTTAAGTGGGCTTTGAGCAGTTATTTATTACACTTTAATTTTGTGTTTGCTTGATGGTATGACAATGCATGGTCTTTGCATGCTGCTAGCCGATATGTTTTTCTTTTTCAACAAAACAATATTTTATTGTGTAATTTTTACATTTATAATTTTACTATGGAAGATCTGGATTAAATTAAAATAAATATCTGGATCCTAATGTAAATGGAGCACTTAGAAGTTTCATGTTCTGCACTTAAACTAGAGAGAGAAGCTTTTGTTTGCTTGTGAAATGTTAATTCTTGTTCTGACCTTCTGTGATAACTAAAATATGTGATATGTGGCATACTTCTATGTGTCTGAAACAGAACCAAAGCAATAATGTTTTGATGCTGAAAACTCTTCAGGGAGCTTTCAGATGTTCCAAGGCTTGTACAAAGCAAAGATGCACTGAAAATTAGTGATCTTGAAATATGATTTTAAACCCACACCTGTTTGTCTTAAGCTATAATATGGATAAAGTTGTGGCTCAAAAATCAAACTGAAAAGATCTTGTTTTGCTAGAGGCAGTTTTCTTTCTTTTTTTTTTTTTTTTTAAAAAAAAGGCAAGTAGATTTGTAAGGCAGCTTTCTCCCATAGAAATATGTTAATATTACAAGCAGACAATCTTCTTTTTTAATATAACAAAGGTAAATTATTAAGTCTACTTCTGAGTTTTTACATGGTAACTGAAAATAAAGTATTTGTATGAATTACTTTTGTTATTAGTATATCATGACACTTAATATTTTAGGTTTTTACCTTGTAAACCTTCTCCCCTATCCTCTCCTCCCCTCCCTGAGATTTCAAAAGGCAATAAGGGATGGAAAACCTTTAGGTAATTGGATTCAAATGGAAATTGTTATTGTCATTTACATTTTTCTCATTATTACTGTTTTTAAGACTTAAAATACTGCTGTTCCCCACATGTACACCACTTATTTTCCCTCAGTAATAATGCTTTTTCATGAAGTCAATTTAAAATAGCATATAGGAAAGTATTTATTTTACAGCTTTTAGCCTTTCTGTCGGGTTTCCCATTGCCGTGGCAAGGTCTTGATTTAGAGTATTTCTGTACGAAAGGATACTTTTGACCAGATGAATTAACTTTGTGGAATTTTATTATCTAGAATAAAATATATTGCAGATTCCTAGTTTTGGGAAGGGCAAGAATGTTTTATTTTTTCATGCTGTGCACTGGGTCTTCTAAGCAATGCTAGTGAAACTGGTGGTATTATGTAGCAGCACCCTGGGCACACATTGGCTGTCTGGGAGGAGTTTACACTGTTGAGCATCTTGTAACATGTGCAGAATAGTCAAATACAATGCGTTTCACGTCCACCGCAGAGTGAGCAGAGCACCAAAGAATGGCGTTATGCTTGGTCATAATTTCTACAGCTCATGACAGCTCTTCTTGATGATGAGTGAAGGACTTTACTAAGAGAGTCTAAATTGCATGGGGTATTCTTACTGGCTAGCCTAGTCGGGGATTTTACATTCTGCTTTCTAAACAAGGCGAATGATAAGTGTTTTCCTTCTTTAAGTTTTAAACTCTAGTTGCGGTTTAGTCAGCGTGATATTTATAAATCGAAAGCTACAAGAATAGATGTGTGGGTGAAGCCATAGAACATATTTGATTGAAATTTTTGAGCAGGGATCTTACCAAGGGCCAGAAATGAGATGTGTGGTTCACAGACAGTGAGCGTAACATCCAAGTAGGAGACAAGTTTATAAAGGGCATTGGCAATAAACTTATTTGTTGCAGCTTTTTTCCAAGTAGTGTAAATACTCTTTCCTGATATTATGTACAGCCTTGGAATGGCACCTTTTAACTAACCCCAGGTGTATTTTGTTTCCAATGTTTTTATATACAACTGTATATATGGTGCTCACTTTAGAACAGCAGTGTTGACCATTTATGCTGCATAGTTGTATCATAGCCTTATAGTTGTGTGTGGTTGGTTGAACCTTTGGGTGTACAAATGTTAGTCTGAGTGGTGTCCTTTCTCCATCTGTTGACAGGTGAATGATTGTGCATGTGGTGTATGTTGTATTATGTTGTCACGTAAAAGGAAGGGCGAGAATAACCACTACATTAAGATAATATTGGACCAAACTATTTAGAGCAAGTAAACAGTTTCTTGTACCCCTTAACGTGTCTTTAAAAGTTGCATATAGTTACAGTAGTGTATAAATTAAATATTGTGGAAAAACAACTAGTCTTGTATTTTTCTGTATGTGTGTATATAAATATATATATAAAAAATGTACCTCTAGGAACTTAATCTGTATTTAAGATGTGACAATCTTGACACAGAATTTTAAGAGTAGCAGTATAAATAAACAGAATTAATGAACAGAAATATAAGAATTTCTCACCACGAAAGAATCCATGTGTGTGTGTTAAGAGGGTACAGAAATATCAGCTGATCTTATTGCTTCCAGCAATGTTTGGCTTTTTCATTGTATAAACATTCATGGTGTGCGACAGAAATGGAAAATCCAGTTAATAAAAGTGATATCTTGATTGATGCATAACCTATGATTTGCATGTCAGTGCGGCCTGTTACTCCTGGTGTTCACTGTGTAAGGGCGGCACAAGCTCCTGGCCCCTTCCCCCATGCTGCAGCACAGTGGAGGCCAGAGCTTCTGGAGACACACTTGCTGGGCATGCGTTCTGCGTGCTGCAGCCCGTGCTGAGTAGAGTAATAAATTAGAATAGAAAGCAGTAGACATATAAGCTCGGTTGCCTTGAAAAAATACAACTTTGTGTGTGGATGCATGTTGGTTTGCAGACTTCCAGGCATTCTCTCGCATAGATCAGACTTGTTCATTTGGGCTTAAAAGTTGTCATCCACTAGAATAGCTTTTTGTTTAAAGGTTGAGGTTGCTGGTTTTTGGGCAGAACTTACTTAGACTAATTTAAGTGGTTTAGTGAACTTTATAATCTGCTGTTCAACTAGAGAATGCTTTCGATGATACACTTGTCCGGCTTACCATCTGAGCAAACCCAGTGCTGTTCTGGCAGCTGGTGTCTGGCAGCTCTGGGATACAGAATACGATGGGTCTCAAAATCTCAGTTAAAATATTTGCTGTGCATGTGCCCGAGTCAGTCAGATGAGTCTTATCTTGGCCACACCTCTGTCCGTTACAGTCATGGGAGGGACACCTCACCCAGCCCTGCTGTAACTCTTGGGGAAAGTAAGGTGCTTTACTTGTCTCGGGTTTTTCTTGTTAGATGAAACGACCGGTTGTATACCTGTTTGCAGATCTGCATAGGTGGTGTGTAAACTAGTATTTTTTTGTTGTTGTTCTTGTGAAGGTGTATGTATGTGAGTTGGAAGTTTCACCAGTATAGATTGAATGTTTTTCATCCAAACCTAACCCAGTACTATTCTTCTTTGCAATGTAAAATGGGTAATAGTGGAAAAAAAAAAATAAAATGTTAGCATCAGCACTGATACACATCACCAGTGGGGACTGGAGCATGCTGACTGCACCAAAAGATGGGCACCTTAAGAAAAAGCTATCGTCACCCAAACGGCCCAAGATCTAAAACCACAGTGCAAGACACAGCTCTGCATGCTCTGCTCTGGTTGTGCTGTCACAAGTAACAGGATTCTGGGAGTTAATTCCATGTGTTTACTGCAGCTGCTTCACAGAGTACATCTTACAACTCTGTCCCACATTGCAGTGTTTAGACTGCCACGTGCTGGAGAAACATCTGCTCCTGAACATTTAGTCTAAAAGTACGTATGTATGTCGGTACAGAAGGAAGAGAACAGCTGAAATACCTAAGCTGAAATCCAGGCGCGTGCTCTCACTGCTGTCACTTACAAAATGCTGCACCTTAATGTGTAGTTGGGAGAGTAATGCTTCTTACTGCTGCCTTTTTCCCATGGTACTGTGAAAAGCGGCTCAGGCTGCGGAGGGTAGCAGCGCTAGCCAGTGCTTCTGGAACACGTTCTGCCTATTTTGCCCCGCCAGCATGCGCACTGAGAGCAGGTGGTTTCTGGTACCTTCTCGTGCCTGTTACCGGTTTACCCTCAGAGATGTCTCTGGTGACCTGTGGTTGGAGCAGGTCAGCACAACCTTCTGCAGCGATTTAACACAGAGCCTGTGATTTTAACTGCTCATGAAACATGAGCTGTAACCAGGCAGAGATCGTATGGACACAGGACGTTTGGTACACTTAGAGGGATTAATGGCATTTAACAGGTTATGTAATTATATGCAATTAATGTATGATTACTTTATGATTGGCTAGTTGTGCAAAGCTGTACTCACAGGCTTTTGCAGCTGGGACCTTGGCATTGCTGGTGAGCTTCCCGGTGCTGGTTAATGCACAATGGGGTGGAGGCAGTAGCAGGCAAGGAACAGCCAAAGAACTTGGTGGGGGGAGCTGTGACTGTGCCTGAGCGAGGAACGGTGTTACAAATCTGGTACTACCCTCCTCTTTCTTAAGACATCAAAGCCCAGCAATAACATCTTGGTACTCACAGGTCCGATTTTTTTAATGAATTTTTCATTACCTAATAAAGAAATGGGCTAGCCAGATATCGAGAAATCCCAACATGGCTGGCTGGCAATAAACAGAGAACAGGGACAGCCTAGCACGTCCCAAACGTTGGAGACAACCGAGCCACCCCAACAGCCTTTCCCATGGTTAAGTTTATGTGGATGAATCGGAACAGATCTGTCTGTTGCAAATTCCAGATTATGACTTGCTTTCAATAAAAGGTGTTTGAGTAATAACACCTTGACGTGACTGTACTTGGAAAAGCGTAACAGTGACTCACTCGTTTAGTTGCCTACTGACTGAAGCCAGGGAGGTTCCCTCACTGAAGTCACGTCAGTAGCGTGTTTCGAGGGACAGCCAGGCAGCCCTTCTCCAGGGCAATGTCTCTGTGGCTGTTTTACCCTGCTCCCTTCTTGAAGCAGAGGCTCTGGCTACTGGGTTTTTTTGAGCTTACAATTTTAATTACTTGTAACAAGTTGACTCAGTTTGGCCTATCTGTGTGTATTACAAATGACATCAATTTCTAGAAGTCAAGAACCCTGAATTCGTGAAGAAGTGAAGTCTGTTATACTAGGGGGAAAAAAGGATGATCTCTATTTACTTTCCCAGATGGTAGAAGACTTATGTCATATGAAAAAATGCAAGTTTAGAGGACTGACTTTTAACTTGAAAAGCATGGGTTTTTTGTAAGGGCTGCACTAGGCTCTCAGACATGTCATGTCAGATCTCCTTAGCAATTAATTTCAGCAAACGCTTGTGTAACTTCTTCCCCCTCACTACTCTCTCTTGAGAAATACAGGGCTGGGGGAGGCAGGAGGGAAGGATCTGTTTTTCTCTCTGGGCTCCTGTGTGCTGCACACACTGCTTCAGTGCCCAAGGCCTGGGAGAGGTTCGGCTCAGTGCTGCAGACCCGGGAGCTAGCAGGAAGGGCTGACGAGCGCTCTTACACCGTACCCAGGATCGCCCTCATCACACCAGTGATGACAGATGCTGTCACCACTGTGTTTTATATTGAGCAGCAGGGTGCAGAGCGATCCCTCCTCTCTAAGGGCATCAGTCTTCAGGGCTGACAGGTGAGTCACCAGCCTCTGCTGTCAGCTCCAGCCTGATGCTGGCACTCACCCCTCCGACTCTTGGATGAGGCATGGATGGGAGAGCTTTCCTGAAGAAAGCACTTGGCGGTAGGAGGCATGGTTCCCACTGGCTTTGCTTATCTGAATAAGGAAGTAAACTCTCAGTCAGTGCAAGTCCTCCTGAATGAGATTCGAGATCGATTCCCTCTGGTCGAGGTAAGCAAAAATACCCAGAATTGCGTGCCTGCTTACGGAGGAACCTCTCCTCATGTAATGATTCCCATGTTTTCCTCTTCCACTGTCCTTAAGTTCATGGGAGCTGCTGCAGTCCAGCAAGTACAGTAGAGATCCTGAGTCAGCAGATCCCTCTGGGCCACACAATTAGACCTGTGGCTCACAACACACCTGATGAGAAAACTTTTGTATTACCAGTAAATTATTTATGACTGGCCTTTTCCTTAAAAACAGTGGTCTTGGTTGTTACCACTGCTGCTAAGGTGATGTGTAAAATTCAAGCCTTACAGATAGGTACAGGCTACTCCCACACAGTTGACTTCCCAAACAGGATGCCACCAGACTCATCCTAGGTTCCTCCCTAAAGCTTGAGACCAGAGGTGAACTTATTTCTTAGGCTCGGGCACTGGAAGAACTGCCGCACACCCAAGGCTGTTTGCCTGCACTCCTGAAAGGTCCAGAGCCAAGGCTGTCTCTGAGGTCTAAGGGTCTCTCTAGTTGGGTAATGGACCATGCCATGAACCTCCTGGGACGGACTCGCTGCCCGTAGTGGGGGCACAGGCAGAGCATAAGCTTTACGCTCATAAACCAGCCCATTCGCACTTTCCACAACCCCTGCGTAAACCCACCACTATTTGCCTGAAGGGCCCGAGCTGCAGCTTCAGCTATCGCTGTACACAAACTGCTCGCTGACCCCAAGGAAGGAGACAGAAGACACTTACTGGCAACCAGTCGCCTCTGATCTAGGTGCCTTCGTTTCCTTCCACTTCAGTGCACTTGCCCCTTTCCCCTGTAGCCCACTCTGCCCTTCTCAACTGCACGTTGAAAAAACTGGATCTGGCCTTGTATGTCAGCTCTGTGCTGGGGGTGGCCTGAGAACAATGGGAAAGTAAAGTCTCCACTCCCATGTGCCTGGGGGACACAGTTACCCAGACTAGGAACAGACATACAAGATTACACAGCTTGTGAATGGCAGTTACTCGTAAGGCTCTTATTTATTCTCATATTTTCATCTGACAACAGGTTTTTGTCAGTAAGCTTTGTCCCTAGCATCCCACAATTTTTACAGATGCACCTACAGCAGAAAGAAAACAATACAAAGACATTCAGAAGCATAGACAGAAACATTTTTTCTCTCAAATGAGAAATGACAATAGATGACATCATGAATGTAAGAAACCAAAAAACAAACCAAACCCTGGCATTAAACCAGTATGTTTTAAACACAGCACTCCCTCAGTACAAGGGCAAAGAACAGCATACAGAGGAATAGGAGCTAAATTTCAGTCCGGTGACAAAGTATTACTTGGTAATATACAGGTAACATATCTCAGCAAGCTAAAGTGTACGCTCTTGAGGACAGAAACACTCTCTGTCATGACTGTGTAGCATTTGTGACGCTAAAACAAGAGTTCTCCCAGTATC